ATAGCGACAAAGCTGGATTAAACCACGACAATTGTGCAGTACGGGGGAGATTTAACATGAGAAGATTCTTAAGATATTTTATTTACCTTAGATTTGTGTGGTGTGACGACAAAAGATACATTTAACAGCGTTAAAACACATACCACAAAGTTACAAATGACATTGCAGAAGTTCAGAGATCTTCAAACGATTGCGGTATTAGTTCGATTAGAGATAACAAGGGTCGTATCATAGGCACTCGACTTTTTTGGGATTCTTATTTGGCATTAAATCAGCTGATATCATCTGTGTGTTGATCATAATCAATTAATTAGACCTTGTTACTATCTGGAACAATTCTGTGAAGATAGAGCTGCTACAGAGGCAAAATGTAAGTTATTGCATCGTTTGCCTTTTGAGACATCCCCCGATAAGGTCACTAAAGATCGAAGTTATCTAATTACAGGTTTGCGCAATGAATCGAGACTTTTTTCTTCCACATAAATTATTTTACAACAGAAAACCTAGCTTAGCACAAGCGTGTTATCCGGGAGTTCGCAATGCCGTAGAAGACGAAGTAGATGACGAATTTTTAGACGATGGAGATTATAAAATTCTTGGTGTGAAACAGGAACTAGTGCCGAATAAAGCGGAAGAAGGAAAAGAGGATACTTCCGCCAAAGAAGAAGGCGCACATGCTGGAATGTCACGCGACACCGATTCACGAAGCAGCCGAGGTTTCAACCGAAGATTAGATGTGTCATCACGTGTTCAAAGTCGGGAGTCCCTATATGCCCCCTCCCTGTCCTCACCACGGCCCGATCAACAGTATGATCCGCGCCGCTCCCGTGTCGCATCATCAGGTCCCTCCACAAAGTGGCCAGTATCTTTGGAACTCGCAGGCAGAAAGATTCAGGATCAAAATGAGAAGGTTTTATCCCAAGACAACGAAACAAAGGCGCAAGAGAAAGTTGCGCCCACAGACCCAGTTGCGGAGCTGAACGGGAAAACTGACGAACTGAACAGGATTCTTAGTGCTTCACATCCTGGACTTCTATCTTATTTACCGCCTCTCTCGCAATCCTTAATGAGACAAACTGCCACGCCATCTAAAAATAAAAAGATGTCATTTTCTCCGACATTTTACGCAGATTACGGACTCCGAACTGAGAAAACGGACTCTTTTCCTGGACTTTTGTATCGAAGAAAACGAGAGAGAAGTAATCTAGAAATTGTGAAACAAGTGGAAAAGAAAGCTAACCGACATATCTACGCTTGCCAGGTCCTGGGAAGTTCTAAGCGAGGAAGCAAAGCTGCTCAGAGCGTTAACACCTTGAAGCAGACGGTCGGACCCAAACAGATATCGACCTCGGATTTACCAACGAAATATGTTCGAGAAAACTTACTAAACCATTCCCCTGAAAGACAAGCTTCATTTGTGGATGTGTCAAAACGAGCGCCATTTTCACTTTTCATTCGAACACGTGAATCTCCTGATTTTTCGCGAGCTCCACGTCATAAAACGGCGCCATTACCAGAAATTAATGGACGGACTCTAATTTTAGGATTTGATGCTAAAGACTGAATTACTTGGATATAAATCTGAGATAAAATACCACTTATATCAAAGTGTAAGATAAAATACCACTTATATAAAAAAAAAAGTGTTATTTGTGTGAAGGAATAACATTTATGTAATTCAAATTAAAGCAGTATGCAGAGTAGGACTTTGGGTTATTGAGAAACTTGAATTTTTAAAACACAGTCCAGACTTAGTTGTCAAGTTCAGATCTGATGTGATAAACTGTATATTAAAGATCAAAGATATTGAAGATTGTATACAAAATGTATTCAATCTTTAAACATGTACGAGTAAAATGTTGTTAGAATTAAATGTTATGGGCTAATAAACATAATGTGCATTGTTAAAATATATTCAAAGAATTGTGAGGTTTTATTGAAATAACATATATTTTTCAGTTCTTTGTGGGCATTTTCTGTGAAGTAGATGAATAGTTGCTATACTGTGATTCCGGAACAATCATAGCGATATTGTGTAATACCATTACATGTAGCTCAAACTGCAATCTATTTTGCATCTCTTTGTATTAGTATAACATTTGTATATAAATATATAAATGGTCTGTAAATGGCCTTTCATAAGTGAAATCGACCACATGCAAGGATCCTGTCCAAGGGACTCGAACTACACTGATTTCATACAAAGTGTTATTTGTTCAATTTAACTATTTTTCTGTTTCCCTTTTCACGAACTGGGTAAACTTCAGTTATACAAATTAAAATTTAAATGATCTACAGACGTGTTTTAATGGTCTTTATTCAGACAGGAATTAGAGCCCTAACGCATTCAAATCTATGGATTATGGTAAATTGAACCGATGAATACCAGACAGATATAATGTAGGATTTAATACCCATGTAAGTCCTGTAAGCATATGTCCGTTTTTGTCCCCATGCAGATTTGCCTTAGGGTACTGGTAAATCAATCTGCGCAATTATAAGCCTTTAAAAGAAATAGTTAACGAATTACAATTAATAAATTTAAATCTGTCACTAAATATTCCTGTATAAACTTGATTACAACGCTTCACACCTTGAACTAGTCATGGTTGATTTGTTATTTAATACATGTAGTATTGCTTCATCTCTTTAATAATCTAATGGAATTAATTTACATCTTATTCTAAATACTGAACATCAACTATTTAAACTGGATACATTAAGTGCAATAAAATTTTGTATCGTTTTCTTTTTATATACCGGTATAGTAAACTTTCTTTCCACATCTGTTCAGTGTTTAATTCAATTTTCTTTTTTTTTTTTTTAATTTATAACATCGCCGTTACATCGGATAGGTTTATTTACGTGTAACATCGTGACGCCTTTAATTTCAAACAGTCATTTTGCATTAATTTAATAGGGACGTTTCTATTCTATCTCTCTCTCTCTCTCTCTGGGATCATTTATATGATTTAGGCAGACCCGTAGCAACGTTTCAAAAAGGTGCACATGTACTTTTAAAACAATCAAAGTACTCAGAAGCACAGAGAGCCGGGCTCATTTACAGAGTAGAATGGATTTCATGAATCATGTTTATATTCTGATGAAAAAAAAATTATTTTAAAACTATCAATATAAATGATAAGACACTGACAGTGAGTTTTTCAATTTAATACCACGGTCCGATTTTGTCAGAATCAGAATTAATCTGGTACCGCAGCTGAATGTAAACAAACAGGTCAGTCTGGTTCCCTCTCCTGTTTTACCTCGTATGTGCATGTAGAGAACTACGGTAACACTGATTATCAAAAATCCTTACGCTAATGAACTATGTTCTTTGACTTATGAAGTTTTCAAAGTCATTACTACTAATGTTTATTTTATATAGATAAAACTTCGTTTTATTTTTGTTGCTTTATTTAGCGTTTGTATTATCTCAAAAGCGGTTGAGAGTAAGAACTATATTTTTGCACGTAACTTTAAAATGGCGACTATGGGGTCAACATCCTGCCTTGAACAGGATCACATAAGCCGGCAATTGCTCTTTGAGCAATAAGCCCGGCTAAAAATGACGAGCAAAGAATAATGATATTTTCCCGCGTTTCGCTAGTATAGCGGGAAAATGTTGTATTAATGACAAGATGTTTATACGCATGTTGTGTGGATTGGTCAGAGAGTGACCAATAGAAATTGATTTTGAGGTGTAGTAGAGAACTGGTTTTTAAAGGTTGGTCACTTCTAGCCGCCGACTTAAGCGTGCAATAGCTTAATTTTCTTATTTTATAGATAAGGGTATAAATGAATATATTTTTTTGATTTTTTTCTTAGGGTTGATAGGTAGGTTGTGAGGTCCGTCGCAACAATTTTTGCATCCAGCAGCACTTGGCAACGGACACAGGTTTCTAGAGTTTTTTAAAAATTATTTTTATCTCTAGTTTTTCCTGGCCGGCCCTGATGCTTTTTCATGTTTTTCACAAAAATATAGTATAGAATATTATAATAGATGCAGCAGTTTTGGGGAATTTTTATGTTTTTATTTCTCATACACAATGTTCTGTGTTATAGGGGAGAGAGAGAGAATGGGGAGAGAGTGCAAGTGTGGAGAGAATGGGAGTGGGGAGAAAGGAAGAAAGAGGGGGAGAGTGGAGAGGAATGGAAGAGAGAGGTGAGAGTGTTTGGGTGTTTATTTACACCAATACATTCATGTCAAATATGTCAAAGAAATATGAATTCATTTTGTGTGACATTATTATGTACTGTTACATGTATAAGGATTAGCAAATAAATGTTTAGCTGCAGATTTGTAGCTCTCCGAAAAAATATATTGATAGACCGGAGAGCTACAGTGCCACCCATTGAAAAAACTGTATATTTATTGCGCACAAAAAAGTGCGCTTGGTTCTCGATTTATTTCTCCATGTTTTTAAACTGTAATCTCAAAATATTACTAACCGTATGTTCCAAACATATTCTTTCACTGTTTTCACAACCAAACACTCCTCATAATTGTTGTTAATAGTCCTCCTGACTCTGATATTGTAATCATCGAACATTTCGCTTATTTATACAGCCATTTTGGTTTCAAGGATAATTCGGTCCAATATGCTTCATTCAGATGTCAACTACGAAAACACTTGATAGAGGAGAAAGGGATTTTTTGAAATCTTTCCTTTTTTGCAGTTGAGGTAAGAATTTGGAAGAATAAATCGAGAATCGAGCGCACTTTTTTGTGCGCAATAAATATACAGTTTTTTCAATGGGTGGCACTGTAGCTATCAATATATTTTTTCGGAGAGCTACAGATCTGCAGCTGATAAATGTTGACCTTAAATTCTCCCCTTTATATTTACATTACAACAATATGTAGAATTTTCAAAATATTAGAATACAAACTTTCAAATATATACACACAAATTGACAAATAATTATTCTGTACTTTTAGAAGTATTTATTAATAAAATTGCAGATATTATGTCACAAAAAATCACAATTTCGTCAAAATTCATGTATATCTTACACGAGTATTACAATACACCGTTTCACGATAACTGCGTTACTGCTCTTTTGCAGGGCAAAATGATAGATTTCGGTGAAATATGACGTAAAAGCAATTGTTTAAAAAACGTCATTTAATTATCTATCAACAAAAACTCCGCCAAACGTTATTATTTTGCCCTGCAGAAGAGCAGTACCGCAGTTACCGTGAAGGGGCTAATTGACAACAAAATTCAATTTTGTCATGCATTAAATTAAAACAAACACTCATTAGTTTCCTTCATTTTTTTAGAGAATGTTATGCACATGTGTATATGTCAATTTTAAATTCTTTCTGCATCACTATTTGTTATCCTATAAAATATTTCGCAAACCTTTGCATGAAACAAACACAGCATTATGGTTCTGTCCACCCATTAACATACACCCTGATAACAATCCATGAATTGCACACAGATCTATCACTGTTCTGCTCATTTGAAACACTTTTGGCTCTCCATACATTTACTGCTCACTTCAGCATCAATTAAATGACCTTCCATGTACCTTAGGTACTTATGTGACCTCTGAACTAGTCTCTTCGGCAGCAGGTTTGTTACAGTCATTCCCATTGGCTGGATCATCATTACTGCTCTGATTTTTTGTATCTGGAAGATCTATATAAAGAAGGAGAAAAAAAAAAACCTCAAATAAATAATAGAAATATTTTTTATTCTCATTTGAAGCAGCATATGCATGAACATTTTCAAGAATGTAGATACAACAATGTAATAAGTAAACAAGAGGCCCATGGGCCACATCGCTCACCTGAAAAGCTTTGGCCATTCTGTTCTTTACCAGATTTCCCCCTTGTAATACATATTGTGACCCCACCCTTCTAACTTAACATAATTTAAACAATTTGAAATCTACACTACCCCATTATGCTTCCAAATAAGTTTCAGTTTTGATTTTCAGATTTTTCCTATATATTTCAATGTAAAACTTTGATTCCCCATTGTGGCCCCGCCCTACCCCCGGGGGTCATGGTTTGAACAATTTAGAATCTACACTACCCTAGAATGCTTCCACATAAGTTTCAGCTTTTCTGACCCAGTGGTTCTTGAGAAGAAGATTTTCAAAGATTTTTCCTATATATTTCTATGTAAAACACTGATTCCCCATTGTGGCCCCGTCCTACCCCCAGGGGTCATGATTTGTACAATTTAGAATCTACACTACCCCAGGATGCTTCCACATAAGTTTCAGCTTTTCTGGCCCAGTGGTTCTTGAGCAGAAGATTTTCAAAGATTTTTCCTATATATATTTCTATGTAAAACATTGATTCCCCATTGTGGCCCCGCCCTACCCCCGGGGGTCATGATTTGTACAGTTAGAATCTACACTACCCCAGGATGCTTCCACATAAGTTTCAGCATTTCTAGCCCAGTGGTTCTTGAGAAGAAGATTTTCAAAGATTTTTCCTATATATTTCTATGTAAAACATTGATTCCCCATTGTGGCCCCGCCCTACCCCCGGGGGTCATGATTTGTACAATTTAGAATCTACACTACCCCAGGATGCTTCCACATAAGTTTCAGCTTTTCTGGCCCAGTGGTTCTTGAGCAGAAGATTTTCAAAGATTTTTCCTATATATTTCTATGTAAAACACTGAGTCCCCATTGTTGCCCTGCCCTACCCCCGGGGGTCATGATTTGAACAATTAAGAATCTACACTACCCCAGGATGCTTCCACATAAGTTTCAGCTTTTCTGGCCCAGTGGTTCTTGAGAAGAAGATTTTCAAGATTTTTCCTATATATTTCTATGTAAAACATTGATTCCCCATTGTGGCCCCGCCCTACCCCCGGGGGTCATGATTTGAACAATTTAGAATCTACACTACCCCAGGATGCTTCCATATAAGTTTCAGCTTTACTGGCCCAGTGGTTCTTGAGAAGAAGATTTTTTAATGACCCAACCCTATTTTTGTCTTTTCTTGATTATCTCCCCTTGCAAGGGGATATGTCCCTTCATTTTAACAATTTAAATTCCCCTTCACCCAAAGATGCTTTGTACCAAGTTTGGTCAAGATTGGCCCAGTAATTCTTGAGAAGAAGTCGAAAATGTGAAAAGTTTACAGACGGACAGACGGACGGACAGACAGACGGACGACGGACAAAATGTGATCAGAAAAGCTCACTTGAGCCTTCAGCTCAGGTGAGCTAAAAACAAACAATTTAATTATAAATATTGACAAGGTTCATTTACAAATCTAGTCATTTTACTTCAATTCAATTTCACATTCTCAGATAATGATTTTTTTAATCATAATTTTTCATTTTTGTTCAGTTTAGATCTATTAGGTTAATGCTACTTTTAAAACGTTTTGCAGTTTAGTACAGGTACTTTTCACTCACTAATTTAATCACATGGAAAAGACGGATATTGATCTAAGGATGTAAAAGGGGGTGGTGAGTGAATTTAAGTCAATGATACTACACAACACTTTGGTTTTCTTTTGAAATACAGCATTATATCTATTAATTTGTTAACTAATTTGAAAATAGCATATTACATGTAATAGGAGATTGTATCTATTCCTATTTCAAAAGTTTACCTTGTTGACTTGTACCAGCATTAGCAGTTTTTGATTTCTCAGCACTAGTGGAGCTTTCTTGTATTTTTGGTGAGATGAATGTTCTGTGCATGTCTAATTTTCTATCTAGACAGGAAACAACTTCTAGTCCCACATGATTGTTTGAAACATTTGCATTATTTCCATCTGAAAAATTAGATTTCAGCATGATCTTATAATTATTACTGTACCATCTGTTCTAAGAGAGACAACTCCTGTATGATTGAGTAATTTCTGTTCAACAATTTACATTCCTTCACATTTAGAAGAACTTCCTTACAAATAATTACAATTATTTTTAAAGATATGTCTTCAGGTAGCAACAAAATATAATGTGCATTGTAGATAGAATTTCCCTTTGAAGTACACTCACTTCAACAGTACAGTTGATTAAATGATTTCTTCTTGATAAAAATAATAAATGTGAAAAGCAATCTCATTTATTAAGGGGAGCAACTGCTCTAATGACATGGAAGGTTGCAGTTATGTAGAGGTTCACTCCTTATTTACATAAATACATAGTATGCTATTGTATGTAAATGTACAGTAGAAATTTTGCTAGATAATTACAGCCAGACCAAGAAGTAATCCTGCATGGCTAAGAAATCAAATTTATCACCTTCCCTAATCAGTGTAATATCCACCTTGTCATTAAATGTACAGTAAAACTTGGTTACAACGAATTAGTCTAGTCACTGAGACCTGTGAAATTACTTCACATTAACTGTAATTCGTTATACATTGTATCCCTGCAAGGAATTTGTTAAATTTATATTGTTGGGGATCCAAGATAACTTAAGTTTGCTATATGCATGAATTCACAATATCTGTGTTCATACTAAATGAGTTTAACAGTACTCGTTATTTTAATTGAATTATTACAATATTAAAAGTTTCTACCATCAGGCTTTTTCTCCTCGAAAATGAGATAGGATCCCACGGGAGCCACATATTTTCCAGAAAAGGTGTAGTCATCCACCTGTAGATAAGGCGTCTCCGTTCCTATTCCCTGGAGAAAACAGATATTACTTCAGTTCTTCATTTGGCTCACATATATACGAAAGGATATGTTGAAGTGAGTCAAATGTTCCCAACAAATATTCTTTCAGTAATATTTTACCATCAGTATCCCAAATCCTTGGACATCTCAGTTCTCTGTCCAGTGGAATTCGAGGCAGTCTTCATGAAAACTTTTCAAACTTACTGGCCTGTCAGACAAGTGAACTTTCAAACTTTACTAGCCCACCAAAAATTTCACTGGCCCCCTTAATTTAAAACAATGAATATATAATTATAAATTTAAACTTGCTTGCATGTGTAAGTATTTCCACTTTAGAAACGCTGCTATTTTTCACTCTTTGTCCTAAGTTGTAGGATACTCCCATATTTTACGTACAAGCTAATTTTAGTCTAGTTAGTTCCAGCTGTTACATAATACATCCATGTTATGTATAACAATAACAAATGCTTGTTCTTTTTATGTAATATATTAATTAAATTTACGTATGTAATATATTAATTAAATTTACGCATGCAAGGCAGTTAAAATATTTTAACTGTGTATGATTGTGATAATCAACAAGCTCATCGGACTTCTTGAATTTTGATTTTCTCTGACCCGACATCAAAATTCACCGGCCGCGGTCTTCAGACCAGTGAGTTTTCGTGAAGACTGTCAAGGTATTGAGTTTGATTTTTGATAATGTTCAAGTTTTTTTGGGCACAGAATAGTTTTTAATTATTGTTTCAATTAACTCACTAAAACTTTGCAGTTGCCTTCAGCTTTCTGGAGAAAGTCTGGTTCTAAAATCCCATGAAGTTCGACCAACAAGCTTTGCTCCTGTAATTATAGAAATATTTAAGATACACTCACTCAGTATGCATGTTTTAAATACAAATTTTAACCCTTCCAATGATTCCTTCAATTGGGAAAAGGGTATTCCCATAATTTTTTTTTTTTATTTAAGAAATTGAAATTTTCCCTGATTTAAGAAAAAAAATTTCAACAAAGTGATGGTATCAATAAGATTGAAACTGACTCGTTTAATTTGGGGAGCAAGGTCAAGTTAATGTTATTATACTTTTTTCCCTTAATTTGTATAAAGAATGAAAAAAAAACTGGTATGTCAATTGATACCTGCTTCTATTTCTAATAAAAAGATTTTCTTTTTGAATAAAAAGATAGACATCACATATATTAGAAATAAGCACAAAACTGTGACATATAATTTAGCAAAAATATATAAGATATACAGCTTAACTCGCTCGGGGCTAGTGAATTTTATGGGTGGGCAAGTGAAATTTTATCAACCACTTGCCCGTGGGCAAGTGACTTATCAAAAGGTTGGGCACAGTTCCTTTTTCAGGGAAGTTTTACTATAAAAGGGAACTACAGTGTATTACTCTTTTCAGTAGTAAAAACATTACTGAATTCGGGAATTTTCACTCGTTTAGCCTAGTATTCTTGTGTTTGTTTTGAATAAAAGATAAAGTGCAAGAATATTTTCACATCCTCTAAATATTTATTGTCTATAAAGTGTACATGTGTGCTAAAAACTGCAATATCTATTGCAGTTTAAAAGCTGAAAAAGAGTGGTGAAATATTTCTATGATATAGATTTCTTGCAGAAGCTTACCTGTGTTAAAATTGTGAGATTGAATACATTCAGCACTTGATAACTCGTTCATGAGATTATTCGTTCTAATTTAATTTTATACTGTTTCTTTAAATGACATCGTAAAAAAATTTTTAAATACCATTGCTTCTTTTACAGATGAAAATAATAATTTGAAATATTAAATTTCAAACAATATTCTTTTAAAATGGTTTAGAATGAATGTCCTTATTAGATTCCATACTTTTAGTACCATTCATCAACAGGGAAAATGATTAAACTTGTCTGCAGCACTGAAGGACTGAATTTTTCGGTCAGCGAGGTTCGTTTAATAAAGATTATAAACACATCACATCGTATTTTTTATGCACTTTTTATTTAATAAATGGATTTCAGGCATTATTAAAAAAATGTGACAAAAATTACCGAATTGCGTAATGTTTTTATTACTGAAAAGAGTAATATTTTCCTTTTATAGTAATATACTTCCCCGAAAAAGGAACTGTGACCAACCTGATCAAAAATAAAATCAATATGTAAGCCATAAATTTAAAGCTTAGCTATAGCATAGAGGATCTACTCAGTATTTGTCTTGCTCTGTTTTGAAATATTTATAAATACAGTATTAGTTTATGGTTGGTCAAGCAAAAATTAAGGTAGCGCTAGTGAATTTTGACCATGTACATGTACTTGCCCTTGGACATTAGTCCGAAAAATCTAACGTTTTCCTGGCTTTTTTTACGATTTTGATATTTTACACACCAGGAAAACGTCAGAACCGGCGCCACTATGAGAACTGGAAATTTCGCCGTCTTCAACTGGAGTTGATTTTCGATACTTGTGAACCGAACTAAATGCCGAAATCAGAATTTATCAAAAGCACAATGCCTCTAGTACTCACCAATATCGATGAAAAGAAAATATCACTCAACATTTTGTAACAGGACATGCTAGATTTTAAAATGCACAAAATGAAGACAAATCTCGAAAGTGTGATAAAACCTTTTTCAATGGATTATTTATTTCATAAATGAACCATAAAAACTATATTGGTAAGTTCTTTAAGTATTGTAATATTGATAACTTTTGACTTTGAAATTTAATTCAGTTCGCAAGTATCTAAAATCAACTTGAGAATGCTACCTCCGGTTGGAGGCAGCGATTTCCCAGTTTACGTAATGGCGCCGGTTTTGACGTTTTCCTGGCATGTAAAATATCAAAATCGTAAAAAAGCCAGGAAAACGTCAGATTTTTCGGACTACTTGGACATGTGCCTTAAACAGGTTGGGACCAATCGCCCAAATGGGATATAATAGTCTGTTTGGGATATAATATCCCAAATGGGCTATAAATTTACAGTGCAAAAATTGAAAATTTTTATTTTGGCTATAAATATCATAAATCCGCATCAGGACACTCAAGAAGGAATAACTTTTGGTTGACAAGTTTTCCTGTATGCCCATTGTTTAGGAGATTGATCCCTCGGAAGTTCCTTATTTTCTTGGGAATCAATCTAACGAACGGTAGGGTTGCAGGAAAACTTGCTTACCAAAAGTTGTTCCATATTTTAATTGTTTTGATGCGGATTTTTGATATTTATTACCAAAATAAAAATTTACACCTTTTTGCACTGTAAATTTATAGCCCATTTGGGATATTATATCCCAAACGGACTATTATATCCCATTTGGGCGATTGGTCCCAACTTGTTAAAAATTTATTTGTCAGCCCCTGGGATATCAATGTTCTCTGTAGGAAACATGCATATTTTCAAACATTAGTAGGCCCTATTAATGTTCAAGTAAATAAAAACAACACTGCGGCTTAAATACCTCCTCTTCCCACTCTTCTGATGAATCCATTTCTCATTCTTTGATTTTCACCACCGTGACCACGTCTACTTTCATTTTTCATGAGTTAGGAATACCGATCCCGATGTATTTAATGGAACAAAGCTCGGATTTTCTCCATAGGCCTTCTTTTTATATACAGTAAATATGCCATTTTTGAAAGCGTGCTAATTTCGGCGAATTTTTATTTTTGTTTTAATGAGGGTATTCAGGCACACATAGAAAAACACAAAATACACCATCATGTAACCAAGCGCCTTTTTATATACAGTAAATATATATGACATTTTTTAAAACGTGCTATAATTTCTGCGAATTTTTATTTCTGTTTTAATGAGGGTATTCAGGCACACATAGAAGAACACATAGAAGAACACATAATACACAAAATACACCATCCTAGCTGTAACCAAGGGCCTATGATTTTCTCTCCATCAAAAATTTTCTTACTTAATAAAATTTCACTAGCCAGGCAAATAAATGTGGAGGATAGGGCAGCTTTCCCCACTTTTTCATGATAATTTTCCATTTAGATCCTACCCCCCCCCCCCTTAAACCACACCCTCAGCATCGTTTCTTTACCATCTATTCCACGTGTCGATGTAGGCCAAAGCCTGTCCACTTCTCTAAAGAGAATATCGTATTTATTATAACTCTACATGTATACCTTGGTATTAATGGTTACTACATGTGTATGTAACTCCAAATAAACCTATATGAGTATATTTTTACGCCCCCGTAATAGAAGATTTGGGGATATAAAATATATATACATGTAGTCTTTTGCCCTGTCTATCTACGTGTTTGTCTGTTAATCCGCAAAAAAACTTTAACTTTAAAAATGTCCATAACTTTTGAGTGGGTGATGTTATGGCCTTCTTATTTCACGTGTACTAGTATTTTCCTTGTGACAAGGCCTTTCTTTGGGTACCATCAATTTTGACATTAACCTTAGAGTTTGACCCACGTTTAAATTTTTTTTTTTACCTTGGACGTAACTTTTGAATTAACAGGAAGCACTAGGGCTTTCATATTTCACAGGTATAGTATAATATTCCTTGTGACAAGATCTTTCTAGCTTTGAGTACCAACAATTTTGACCTAGTGACATTGACCTTAGAGTTTGATCCACTTTTTAAAAACTCTAACATTGGCCGTAACTTTTGAACAGTAAGCACTAAGGGCTTTCATTTTTCACGGATTTATTCCTTGTGACAAGACCTTTCTACAGTGTATAGCTTAATTTGGGTACCAACAATTTTGACCTGTTGACATTGACTTTAGAGTTTGACCTACGTTTTTAAAGAACTTAAACCTTGGCCGTAACTTTTGAACAGTACACGTAAGCACCGAGGATTTCATATTTCACAGATGTATTCCATATGACAAGACCTTCCTTTGGATACTTACAAATTTGACCATTTGACCTTCACCTTATAGCGTTTGACTTGCATTTGAGAAACTTCAACCCTCGCTACCATACGCGGGCAGCAGTGCTTCACAAACACATCTTGTTTTGTAATAGTTTGCATGCAAATTTTTAAGAATAATTTTATTGCGGTCCTCCGCTTTCGGAGTCTTAGTGTTAATGCACATGTGAAATATGAAAGTCCAACATGTATCTATTCTCATTCATAAGTTATGACCAATGTTAAAGTTTTTGTGACAGAGGACAGTCTGACCGATGGACGGACAAACGAATGAGAATTGAGATTAAATGTCCCTTTGCTTTTGCGAAAGGGGGGGGGGGGCAAAATATGAAATTGTTCCATGTGTCTAAATACAATCGTTTTCTACTGCGCTGACATCATTGTAAGATTAAATGTGAAAATTCCTTATGAGTAAATTCAAATTTTAAAACGTCATACATGCATGATCCAAATGCAATCTGTTCGACTGAGTAATTCAATTCAAAGCAAATCAATTTATGTCTGGCTTTATGAAATTAAATCTTTTTTTCCCATCAATGATACTCTCGACTCGGTTATAAATACTTAATTGGTATTAGTAAAACCAGAATTAACAAAGCCGGGTGGCATCGAAATTAAATGCTTAAATGAAATAACCGAAAGGACAGATTATTTATTTGTTTGGGATTATAGATCAATTTATTCATACAACGGAGATTTAATCGGCTAAAATTGGCGAACCTGAATTGACCTTACAATTTGTCGTTAACCATGTATGTAAAGGCTGAAACAGAAATTCCGCGCGCGATAACACACCATTAGGAGGAAGACGTGAAAGTTCAGCTACCCCCTCCTATGGAACGCCATCACTGCCTGATAGCATAAAACTATGCATTTATTATGTCAATTTATCATTACGTGATGTGAACATATCTTTACGTTATGTCAACTTTTATGGGGTGATGTAAAAAAATCTTTACATCATGTCAATGCTGCATTATATGAAGTAAACACATTCTTCCATTATGTCAGCACTTTATAAGTTGAAGTTCGTAGTTCATTATGTGAAGTGAAAATATGTTTACATTGTGTTAAAACTTTATTACGAGAACTGAATGTTTCTTTATATTATTTCATTTCTTTAATAAGTTACGTCAAAATTGCATTACGTCAAGTTAATTTCGTTTTACAAGTATTCTATGATTAAATTTATCAGTACGTTAAGTCAAAGTCTATTCCATTTTGTGAGTGTATATTTCTTTTATGACAAACCATTATTACGTGATATGAATGTATCTTTATTTTTACGCCGAGGTCATAATGATGTAAGGTGAATACATCTTACCTTTATGTCAGTGCTTTATTACGTGATGTATAAAGGCTTATAACATAATGTGAACATATATTATGGAGACAGTCCCGGCGTTCCATATTATATCAACACTTTATTACGTTATGTCAAAACTCCATTCCTTTATGTGAATATTTAATAAGAATATGTTAACTCTTTCTTATGTGATTTAAAATTATCTTTATATTGTATTAACTCTTTATCACGTTGATTACAAATGTTCATTAAGTGCTGTAAAATACATTTACATTATGCCAAAGTTGATAACCTTGTTTTCACGACTGGGAAGGGGGATGGGTGGGGGGTCCTGATTAATTAGGACAGACGCATTATATGAGGGGGGGGGGGGGTGTCTAGCTTCCTCTTTTTTCTAGATATAAATTTATCATAGAAAATGTTCATTCAAATTCCGCACCTACTTTTTGCTGAAGTATAAGGGTAATGTAGTATATTTGGAAATTTTTTTTGAGGACTGATCGAAATTGGACACCCCCCCCCCCCTTTCACCCGAAATAGGATTTTCAAGTTTGGACAAATTATTATTATCATTTTTTTTTTTTTTTGCTTTTTCCTGTACTTTATTTTTTTCTGGCTGACAAATCTCCCCCAACTTTCAAAAACGATGCAACGTCACTGGAATTAGTCATTTTTCAACTATTCCAGGACCAGAATTCTGTTACAAAAAATCTACCAGTCCCTCACTTAAATCAATTGACCATGCCTCAGTAAACATGGGCACATATTAGTGGTGATCTTGGGTTCTTGAGAAGAGTAGCTGTAGGGGGACGGTATGGTGTCTAAGTTGGGGACCAGGGGGGTTAAAGCCTGGACGCCCTAAGGCTTTAGGATTTTTTTTAATATAAAACGTTTTCAATTTATTTCAGTTATACTTTATGTGAAACTAATGCCATGTCCTACAAAGTAAAACCAATTGATTAATTTGATGCATATTTTGGTCACTAAAGATGGAAGGGCGGGATCCCCCTTTCCCCACCCACCCACCAGTGCACGTACGCAGTACGATGTGTTTACTCTTTTAAAAAAGAGGAGGGTTAAAGACAGATAAAAAGCTTAGGACAATTTTTGTAGTTAGATCAGAAGTTTCGGACTTTTTAAAACAAGTCAAAATAAAAAGAAAAATATTGCTGCATGACACATACTATTTGATTTGCGATTATGAAATTAAACGGCCATTGAATTTCAACGTTAAAAAAAAACAATCGCATGAATCGTCAATAAGGATTCCACGGGAACATAATCCTATTTATAAGTTTTAACCTGATATTTAGTTAAGGATTAATGAAGTCTTGTGTATAATTTAATATTTGATATGTTTAATATAAATCATTTGCATGTTTAACATATATGCATGTAATATTGAAAACACAAAACGAACTTCTCGGCATAACCTGAACCTTACGTCACACAATAACAGGGGCGTAGCAACAGTGGGGGGGGGGGGGGGGGGGGGGGGGGGGGGCGTGGCCCCCACTTTTTTCCCAACCTTACTTATACTACAGGAAATATTAATAGAAAGCCTGGTTGGCCCCCTCCCACTTTTAGTGATGTACCGAAAATGTAGTATTAGAATTGGTACTGAAAGTAGTTGACACTTTGAAAAAGTTTAAACCCCCCCCCCCCCCCCCCCCACGAAATAGGATTTTCGACTTTGGGCAATTTTTCTCGGTTTTTTGGGGTTTTTTTTTTTGCTTGTCAACTTTTTCAGGTAAGTAAAAAAAAAATTCTCTGGCTCCCCCCCCCCCCACTTTCAAAAACGATGCTACGCGCCTGAATAAAGAGTTGAAATATTCTAAGATATACTGACAAGAGGTTAAGCATTTTAGACACAGTGTAAAGATACAATGGCATAATATAATAATGATTTGTCAAAAAGTAAGGGAAAATTGACATCATGTAATAGATTCCAGTTGTCATATAACATATTGATGACACAATGTAGTAAAGAATTGGCCACATGTGACAATTCTTTTCGCATCATGTAATAAAATTCTGACATCATGTTATAGCAACTTGATATTGAATTAAAGATAAATTCACATCATGTAATGAACTACTTAGACCAAATAGCAGAAAGTGCACTTAATGTAATAATGAGTTGAAATTATATAAAAACATCTTTACACCACGTAAAATTGTTTTGACTTAATGTCATAAAGAGCTGATATAATGCAACGGAAGATTTGCGCAATGTAATTGAAGTGCGAGGTAATGTCATAAAGACTTGACATAATGTAATAGAAAGTTGATATAGCGCAATAGTAGTGTGAGTATATGTCATAAAG